CAGTTGATTTAAGAATGTCGACTAGCCACCCTTTGTTCGATCTTATCTGAAATCACCCCACTATAGAAACCAGCACGGCTTTAGACGAAAACTTTCAACGGATACCCATTTAAGTGAATGCGTTCACGACTTTTGCAAATCTATTGATGCCGGGGGACACACTGACGCAATATTTCTAGATATGTCTAAGGCATTTGATCGAGTCCCGTATAAACACTTGATTAAAAAAAACTTCATTTATTTGGAGTCAGCTCGGAATTGGTTAATGGGATAAGTGCATACCTCAAGGAAAAACGATAATTTGTTGAAATAAATGGCACGGCATCTAGCGTTTTACCACTGTGTCGGGAGTCCCACAGGGCTCCGTTTTGGGTCCGGTATTATTTTTAATATATGTTAATGACATTGCGCAAGTCATTGATGATTCTATTACGGTACGATTATTCGCCGATGACTGTTTCCTTTACACAGATATCAAAACTAGCGAGGATCAAACTAATCTGGAAGCGCTCTACAGAAAATTGGGTCTTGGTGCCAAGAATGGGGGATGGTAATTAATATTGACAAAACATTACTTCTGAGGACATCAAATAAGTAAAATATTCTACCTTATGTATACACAGTTAACGGGTCTCCTTTAAGAGAATGGGAGTGTAATAATTGAAAATAGCTTAAAATGGGGGAGGGGGGGGGGGGCACGTCAACAACATCTGCTGTTCTGCTAAGCGTACATTAGGATACTTGAGAAAGTTTTTTAGGTATGCTACCATGAGTGCCAAGCTGATGGTTTACAAAACAGTCATACGACCAGTATTAGAGTACGCAAATGTAATATGGGACCCCCATCAGAAAAATCACATTAAGGAATTAGAGAACGCACAAAGACGTTTAGCTCGGTATATACTCTCCAGATAAAAACGAACCGACTCTGTTGCTGGCATGTTAAAACAGCTTGACATTATACGTCTTTCCGAGCGGCGCAGGAATGCTAGACTAAAGTACATTTCATGATGTATCATGGTCTCTTCAACGTTGACTACACCCTGTATTTGAAACCCCGTATAACTCGCATTCTAAGAAATAGCCATTCTAAAATGATTCAGCCTTTTCAAAGTAGAGTTAATGTATTTCACTATTCTCTCTTTCCAAAAACAACAAACGAATAGAACCTTCTACCGCAGGAAATTGTGAACTCAAGTTCCCCTACAAAGTTTTTAAATAATTTGAAGCGCTTGCAGAGCTAGTTTCTCCATTGTTACTATTGAGTGGTGCAAGCCGTTTGCTAGTTTAATAATGTTGTCTTTATAATATGATTGCAAATTATACTTGTCTATGCGGTGTTTCTTGTTTTCCTGTCGCTGATTATTTCTGTATATTTCACACTGTCCTGTGAGGTATACGGCGTTCTCGTTTTGCTGCTGCTGTTTATTTCTGTATATTTCACACTCTCCAGTGATGTACGCTGTGTTCTTGTTTTGCTGCTGCTGTTTATTACAGCATATTTTTACCCTCTCCTGTAACGACCCAAAAAAGGGGTTAACAGTATCTTGAAATAAATAAATAAAATAAGTGACCTAGATTAGGGCTTCCATGGCCAAAGCCCTTTGTGTGCCTATTGTGGCTTAACTTTGGCTCCTAAGTTCGTTCAAAAGCGTTTATTTTATATCATTCCGAATGTGCACATTGTTTCATTCTCGGAATCCTCTCACCCAATTTTCCACCTGCAGAAGCCAGGGATTGAAAGCGGCGTCGTGGACACTCTCCTGTGTTACTTGTGTTTCCCTCCTGAACTTCCAAATATTCTTTGGACAGTTTGAAAGTACAGGCGCTCCTCCTCGCCCTTGGCTGGGGAGTCCAAATACTCGCTCTTGGTTGTTGATCAGCAACAAACAATGCAGCTTTTTTTTTTTTTTTTGTTGTTGTTGTTGTTGTTGTTTGCTTGTTTTTTTTTTATAACCGAAATTTTTTATCTTAGTTTGCACGTTTGTCGCTCACTCGCGTACTCATCATCAAGTCTGGCTGCCCGATCAACTTCCCGTTCTGCAGTTAGGGATATACAATACCAGACTAGGTACGTGTCAAGTCCGTCTAATGGCGTCAAGGCATATTACGAAGTTATTGCGGAATGGGTCATGAGCCGAGTCTGCTGCCAAACTAAAGCACGCCTGTTGCCATGCCTACAATACGTGAGCCGCCCCTTTGGTCCTAAAATTTCTCGATACCCATTATGTTGCATGTCCTGAAGTACTTCAAAGTAAAGTTCGATTGTAGCAGCTAAGTCGCTTCATGAAAGTCATAAAGATCACAACAGAAGGTGATTTTCAGGGAAGTCATCGCAAGTAGAGCGCACTTTTATTCTTATATCACCAGCTTGCAACGTACTTGCTGAGTATCTTCGAATGTAATTCAATTACGTTTTCAAAGTGTTTGTACTCTACTCAGATAGTTCGTAGTAAATGTAAATTAAATACTACTGTAAGTACATTTTCAAATGGGTATTTAGTACATTATCTTAAATACTTTTGTTGAGTATTTGGCAGAACACTGTCCCCACGTCTTGAGCTACCTGGGTTATTCGACGATATGATGTGGACAATCGATTGACATTGCGCCGATAGTGCGTCATAGGTGATCTGATATTGAAATAACATTGCTTTGATTTAGCTTCGATACGTTGTTGTTGAATAAATGATTTTAAGGTCGTGATGTGTTTTCCAGCAAAATTTAGCGGCGAAACTGACTTGGTGCATAGGTCACATGACACAAATTTTTCCGCTATATTTAATGGGGAACCTGAATTTGTCTGTAGGTCCCGTGATGTCAGGTCACGTGACATAAATTGACCCGCCAAATTTAGCCGGGAAACTGAATTGGTGCATAGGTCACGTGACGTCAATTCTTCCGCTAAATTTTGCGGGGAAGCTGAATTGGTGCATAGGTCACGTGACGTCAATTCTTCCGCTAAATTTTGCGGGGAAACTGAATTGGTGAATAGGTCTCATGACATCGGGGCATGTGACATCAATTTTCCCGTCAAATTTAGCGAGAAAACTGATTTGGTGCATAGGTAACGTGAGATCAATTGTCAATTTTTCCGCTAAATTTAGCTTGGAAACTAAATTGGTACATAGGTTATGTGACGTAAATTTTTTTCCGCTAAAGTATGCGGGAAAACTGATGCATGTCACGTGACACAAGTTTTTCTGCTAAATTTAGCGGCGAACCTGAGTTTGTCTGTAGGTCCCGTGACATCAGCTCACGTAACATCAATTTTCCCGCCAAATTTAGCGGGGAAACTGAATTGATGCATAGTTCACGTGACGTCAATTCTTCCGCTAAATTTAGCGGGGAGACTATAATGGTGCATAGGTCACGTGACGTAAATTTTTCCGCTAAATTTCGTGGGCGGACAAGCACCTCTACACTAGCACCCACAATATCTCGCGTACTTCATCAATCTTTGCCCACCTTATCTTTCACCCTTTTAACCATCCCATCATCATCAACATTCCGCACGCATGAAGCCAACGAGCTTCACATCTCCATCATCGTCTACAACTAGCCGGCCATATTGGCACAGAAGTAGGATAGAACTACAGTGAACTAGAGCACTAGAAGGGTAGGAGAGGGCATGACGCCAGCCGCGTAGCCTCCACAAGCCATGCTCCCTTGACGCCTCGCCTTTCCCGTTTTCCTCCTTACTCTCTTCACTTACCAGGCCACCGTGACCACATCACGTGACCGTAGCTAGCCTTTGTCTAGCTATGAGGTAGTAGAATACACCACAGTCTAGCCTTCGATCTGATAAAACCTACCGGACAGAGCGCGCACAAGCCTGCAAGGAGCCCATCTACAATCGACCATCCATTAGAGTAGAGTGGAAAGTTAGGCTAGCTGGTAGTTATTCATCTTGGTTTTTGTGTTTGTGTTTCTTACTTTGTCCTCGTCTTTTGTGCGCTTTTACAACCAAGATCAACCATCCATCTCACATGTGACATGTCACGCGCACCAATCGCCAGAGAGATCTACGGTCACGTTGGCCACAACTAGGGGTGTCGCGAACCGGCCGCGGTTCGAGTTCGACCAGGTTCGACTTTTTCGAACTTTTAGTGGAAAGTTCGTCGAACCTTGTATTGAGGTTCGACTCGTGTGCGCATGCGCGACAGGCTGGCCAGTTGGCTCCGGATTGGATGGTAATGGCTAAGAGATGAATTAAGTGCAGCGCTGATCAACTATTTCAGTCAATACAGTACTAAAATTTAAGTTATTAACTTCTTCAGTGAATAGAATTAGTTTCTTTTAATTGCAGTTGTTCACACAATAAAATAACCTTTTGCATAAAAAAATAAATTCTCCAAACCTAGACATGCTTGTATCAAGGTCTGGCCACACTGTCCACAAAGTCGAACCGGTCGAAAGGTCGAAACTGGTGAATAGTTCGAAGGTTCGTCGAACCGGTTAGACCCAGTCGAACCCCGAAAGTTCGACCAAAAAATCTGGTTCGACAAAAGTTCGCGACACCCCTAGCCACAACATCGTTTAAACTTTTTACGACTAGGCTTCACCAACATTGCAACGTGCCCCTTCCTAATGTGTACGGGCGGCAACGCATACATAAACTCTTTTTTTTTCCGTTTCTTTTGCTTCGTCACTTGTTGCCCCAACATCGCCCACGAAATTCATAGGTTACCATTTCCTGGTTTCCCTGCTCCTTATCACCACAGAATAAGGGAACAGACAAACAACCCAGCTAATGAATTGGTTGAACAAGAGATCTGTGCACCTGAAATCACAAAATTAAAGCGTAGCAGCTGCCCTCCTGCCTTCAATAACAATCTAAAAAAAAGAAGAGGAAGAAACAAAAAAAAAAAAGAAAAGACAACGTCGGAGAACGGATTTAGGAACACGCTGGCTAGGTGGCGCGGGCTGTCGCCCAAGTTTAAAACATTTGTTTTCGTCTGGCTATTTCTCTAGTTTGCCAGTTAAGCTTTCATACATCTAGCCACTTGCCGTTTTCATCATGGTGATTGTAGACGATACATAACCGATCGTCGGGGCTAACTCTCAAATACAGTAACAGCTCTTTTAATTTCGCTTGTAGCTAGGAGCTTTTCGAAAAAGAATGAAAACACGGCAGATCGAATCGGACAACATGGAGGACTCCCTGGAAAGCAACCCGCTAGAAGAATCGGACGACTTCTTCGAAGACGTCGACGACACTTCGGACCTCCCGATGTCGCTCATCGTCACCAATGTGGACATCTCTGTCTACACAGATTCCGAACAACGAGTGAGTACGCCGACCTTCGCACCCGTAGGACTCCGCCAACCCTCCGACATCCACACACCTCGCTGTCAACGACAATGACTCCGACAAGGAGGCACGAGCGCGCGCAACCCGGGTCTCTTTCTGTTCGGGCTCCGTCGATTTATCGATGGTCCCATTTTTACTTACGCGAGGCTTCGATCGCCCACGAGTTATGGTTATTGAATAGCGAGTAATTTATTTTTTCGTTTTATTTTTTTTTATTTGGATTGTTTGCTCGGTGCGCGCTTAATTCATGGCGTAATATTGGTACGCACGCGTGCGGGGGAAAATCGCGTCGTTGAAATGGTGCTTGTTGCGAAAGTGCGACGGGTTGGCGTTGGCTCTGCATTTATTTATTGGAGCCGCCGCGCGTGTTCGTAGAAATGGGTGCGCTTCTTCTCGCGGACGTCTAAAAGTAGCGGTGGAAACTCGTCGTCGGGCTGGATGGGTGACAGGCCCGCTAAGCTACGCGGCCTCACTTCGTTGACGGAGGCGGGCATAAGCGACTCGAGGAAGTAAAGTAAAAAATGAAAGGCGACTTCGGTGGGGTTTTTCCGCCGTTTCCTACTCTGTGTAACATTTTAGCTACTTTGTTTTGATTTTCTCGTTGACTTCAAACAAATTTGTCAAAAAAAAAAAAAAAGACGAATTAAGGTACACGAATGAAATACAATCGCGAATAATTTATCGCACGAATCGAAAAGTATTATTTATATACAAACACGGAAGGGGTCAGCCTGCCTTCAGAGCTGATTTGCTACTTCGTAAAAAAGAGCTGGGAGGGGTAGGGTTGGGGACGAGGTAGAATAAAATGTATGAAAGCTAAGGGGGCAGAAATGTTGTACAAAACAAAACAAAGATTAATGCGCACCATTTCATCAAAGTTTAGGGTATTCTGAATAAGTGAGTATTAGTAATGTTAATGATTTTAATTTAACTTTGCACAGCACTGAACCGTCAATCCAATTCACACGTGAAGTAGAACAGAACAGTGCACTGCCTTTCCTATACTCTGTTTCACCTTGTGTTGTACCGCAGGAAAGGCTACAAGCGCGAGCTCCTTTCTCTAGGGCACATCTCGGTGGCACAAGCTCTCGTGCACTAAGGGCAGCTGCCAACGTTGTGAGCTCGCGGTTCTAGCCTTCGCTGCGGTACAACATAAGGTGAAACGGAGTATAGATGTTAATGTATGTCGAAACAGCACCTGATATATAAAAAGAACTGTGTACCGCAAGGCTTGTGACAGAAGTAGGTTCTTAAACTTCATCTTGCATCACCCGGTTGAGCACAAAAGAGAAGTCGCAAAAACCCTGCCATATTGGCCTGAACACATTTCTTCCAATCCTGGACCATGCACATCTGAAGACGCAGGTATTGTCGACTCGATGGTGAAGCAGGGTTATCCTAGACGTTTTATCGACAACACACGTCAGCAGATGGGACAAGGGAGACGTCGAAATAAAAATCACCTTAGAGCGGGGTTAGTAACAATTTCATATATTAAAGGTGTTTCTGAGTCTATCCGCAGAACACTCGCCCCTTTAGACATCCAAACAGCTTTCAAACCTCATCTTGAGCTACATGACCTTGTTTCCAAACCAAAAGACAAACCCCCCCCCCCCCCCCCCCCCCCCCCACTGTCATAGTGTGGTGTTGCGTATAAATTTAAGTCTAGATTGCGACGCATCGTATCTTGGGGAGACCAGCTGTAAACATTGCACCTTTATTAAGGAACACAGGCAGGACACGGCGAAGGCCACACATGCCACGAGGACAAAGACGGGAGCTGGTTGACCATTGTTGGACAACGGGTCATAGTTATGACTGAGAATGCATCAACCTTGATGCGCGAAACGCGGTGGGGTCCACAAAGGTACTTGGAGTCGCGGTGCATCTGGAGTTATTCATCGGCTTGTTACTCCAACTTTAAATAGGATTTCTGATTGTTGTGTCTTTCATTCCTGCCAATTTGGCATCACTGATTATGTCTCCTGTATGGGGGATGAAAAGTCTGATTAAATTGTTATGTTTGTTGTGTAAAGTCAAAGTACTTTCTGTCATCAATATGAGTCAAGGCTTCTGGATCATTTTGCAGTAACATAATTGACGAGTTTTTTTTGTGGCTAAAGTGAGATTACTGAGTTTCTATTTTATTCTTTGTGTTACCACGTGGTGATGTCACAACAGTGCAATGCTGGCGGTGGCGGATGCAGCAGATGCCTGTTCTGCCATAGTCCGCTCTGCAATCTGCAGTCGACAAAACTTCCAACTGCCATGGTCTGAGATGCCATGACACCTCCATCCTTGTCTTCTTCGCTGGTACTTGTACCAACAATGACTAGGTTTGCAATAACCTGTAGCATTGCCTAGCAGCTCTTTCGACATAGCTTGTTGCCGTTTGAGGGGATTGCAACAGATGCAGGTTTTGAGTGCCAAGCACTGCAGTCTCGGACAGATTTTGTGCACCATAGTTCCGAGGTGCTGTTAATATTTTTTTTTACAATCTTGCTTTAAACGTAGTCACAAACAAACGAAAGCTTCAGCTGTTGTGGGTAACTTTAGTTCCGTGTCGTCGTCGAGGGGAAGCTCTCATGTCAAACAGACATTCTCACCTGGTCCACCACATGGGCAAGCACCGCACAAGCTCTTTCTGCGTCACAGACTGCTGTGTCAAGCTGCATCTGCTGTGCTGTGGTTTTTACCAGTATTTCATGCACAGACAAGGACATTTCCCTTGTGTCCTGTTGCTGACATGTTAATAAGGCAGATTGTGGTAGTGTAGCAGTTTGCAAACTGTGGTCCGCAGACACCCGGGGATCCTCGAGAGCATTCATGGAGGTCCGTGCCAACCGCTCTAGATAAAAAGCCCCCCCCCATGCAATCGCACAAGACTTCTGAGCCAGAATGCATTGGGGGTCCGTGGCAGCCAAAAGTTTGAGAACCGCTGTTGTTGTGTATATATGCAAAAATGCTGAGACACATGTCTGTGTGTATCAAAGTGCAAATTAAATATGTCACAATCCATTTGTGCTTACATAAGAGTGCAGTGCTCTCAACATTTGTGGGATTATGTGGCTTGAAATTTTTTTTAGAATGACAAGCTGAATAAGTTGTAGTATGGGTTCATCAAGGTACAGGATTTTTTTAACTTTCCAGGGAAAAGTCGACAAGTATCTCACAAAAGCTGACTAGCCGTCCGTGCTTGTATGGACACAGTGGGTGGGATATTTGGAGGTAGCACAGCAGCACCGGAGCAGCTGCTAGCAGGGTTCCAAACACCAACAGGTATTCAATGCAAGGACTCAAGATGTCCCTACATTTGATTAAATTGAGTGGAGGGACATCTCGGGGTTCCGAAGCATTGTTTGGCTGCGCTTAAACAAAGCTTCGGGACTGTGAGATATCCCTCGGGAAATTTGGTCCAACATTGTCATTGTGACAAGGTAATCCCATATGGGAGGGAAGGGTCGCCCCAATCCCTTACCAACAGAGCCTGCAGGCATATTGATAACCTATTTATTTATTTATGTATGTACTTATTGTGAACAGTGCAACACTGTTAGCAAGAACATGCTGTTGCCAATGTTTCTCATTTTTTGCTTAACTCCTTGGCTACTAATCGTGAGTGGCACTCGTGCTGTTCATAATAGACCAAAAAGTCTAACTAATGTTTTGATTTCTGAGCCTGTTTTGTGCACTCTCCGGCAGATGGCAGCGCTACCACTATTACTCTGTCCCTTTCAGGGTATTTTGTTTTTGTGTCAAATCAAATTTTTACTAAGGAGTGTTCTTTTGTCCCAGAAAACAGCATTTGACATCTGCACATGCAGGAACAGGCAACATGACCTTATTGCGGAAGTTTTCTTTAGCTGATGAAGAAATGCAGGAACTTTTATTTGAATGTGATGAGTTCTCTACCATTTATGATGATTAGTGGTGCCACCTCTGTGATGACTCGGAAACATTATTTCAAACGTGTAATTTGCACAGAAATTGAAGGGAACATTCGCTTGGCATCCAGCTGCTGTTTGTTGCTCTTCCCTTTCCTGAATGTTTCCAACAGTACCACGCAATGAAGAGCTACTGAATGGGCATGTCAGATGGCCAGGGGTCAATTGCGAGAGCATGAAACAACACCTGGAGGCCGAGTAAATATTTCCCTTAATTTTCGTGCAAATTGCGTAATATTTTTTAATATAATTTTTTGGTATGTTTCATGGAAAACGAATCAATTGATATGCAACGAGTTAAAATTGAATGGCCACCATTAAGACTATTACAATGACAGAAAATCCTCATTCAGGGCAGCAGCTTAAGCAGTGAAGTTTGGTGCCCATCAAAATTGACCGAATAAAATGCGGTGAAGTGCTTATACTATGTTTGCGCCAGCAGTTTCATATGGTGTACATATGCTCAAGTGCCAAAGCATTGTAGAGGCCAATCTGATTTCACTCGTTCCATACTAGACTCAACAAAAAAAAGAAAAAGAGCTCTTGTTCTTAGTACAGAATTTAATGAAAAGGCCTGCCAAGCTTGCCCACAATGAGCTATATCACAGTGGTGGTGTGTGAAATGCATAAGCATACCATATGTTAGAAGAAAAAAAAAAATTGGAGTGTGTGTATGTTCATACAGCTTAGAACTTAGTCTGCCTCAACGGGCAACTTGTCTCCCAGCTTTTGCCAGTGCAATTTAGCCAGTGCAGCAATTTAGCCAGTGCAGTACAACCGCTAGCCTGGGGTCTTTAACATGCATTACGCAGTAGTGATACATGACCACACGTTGGTACGGTGCTCATCTAGGTCGAAGCGGGCAGGGGTGGCGATTGAACCCAGGATTCCTGGGTTCTGCAGCGCGAGCTTTCGCTCCACGTGCTCCGAGCTGGTGTGCGCTAGCCCACAGAATAGATTAAGCCAGTGATACTTGCTTATGACTCGTATGTTACCACTTTAACACAAGTCAGTCTCTATAGCAGCCAATAA